TCCCTTGCCCACGGTTATAATTCCGTTCCAACCGGGTGCAAACCCCTTCCTCCCTCACCTGAGAGAGAGCTTATGACTTTTATTCGGCCCTGTTCTAGCGGCGTTCTACCTTTCTAGCCACAGAACCGGTCTTTCTCCAGGCCGGTCACGAACTGTCTCTGAATCGCAACAATTAAAGCAAAAAAGGACGCGTTCGAGGGGCGGTTGCGTGGACAACGCTCTTCCATTTTTCCATTTTCCTCCCTCCTCCCCCTCTTTTTTTCTTTTTTCAATCTTTTTCGCGCACCCTTTCATTCGATTGCCGATGTTTGGCCACCGTTGCGCGAAGATGCATAGCCAGGCGGACGTACATACATCACGGGTTATACAGGTTACAACAAGTTTGGTATCGTGAATTGGAGTTCAATTAAATTCACGAGTTGAACGAAATTACATTTTTCGCACGACGTTGCATTTATTTAATGCGTTTCGCCATTCTATGGAGAATATTTCGAAATTTGATTATATTCTTAAAGAGTATATATATATATATATATATATTTTAGAGGATCTTTATATTCCTCTATAAATAATAAACCACAAACGACAAAGCCAGTTCGATAAAGAGGTGAAAAAACAATTTCTTCCATCAAAACGTTCGACGATAAAATCGATAACCACGAAATTCGTCGTTTCTCTCTCTCTCTCTCTATATATATATATATATATAGATATCGAGCTCGCTATCTCTTAACCTTTGGTGTCGCACAAACGGATTCTAAATTACACGGAAATTCAGTTCTCACTTGGACGCGAGGACAGAGGAAAAATGGCGTTTCACCCGGGGAAATTCGCGTTGTGTCGCTGGAAACATAGAAAGGCAGCCACCAGGTTGCGCTTTAATAATTATTATCCATGGTCACGTGAGCATAATAACGTTGGCGTGTACCGCCTCGCTTTGATAATCGCACGTGCATCGCCTCTTTAAGTTCCACTTCCATTCAATCAACCCGGTCCTTGTTCGCTTCTTGAGCGAGGCGAAGCGAGCGGCCGATTAATTGGACGAATACCTCGAGGGTAAAGGAGGAGGATGGGGCGAGGAAAGGGAGGGTGAAAGAGGGAGGGGAAAAAAGAAAAGTAATTAAAAAAAAAAAAAAAGAAAAAAAGAAAGAAAAAAAAGAAGAAGAAAAGGAAAAAATAATCGCGTGCAGTAGGCGAATAATTAAGCGTTAATGTATCCTGTCGTCGGGGGTGTTTGCTTGCAGACTGACTAATCAACCCTTGCATGCTTCGTTTGCCTCTATTCAAGAAGGTGGAGTCGTGATTTCGCGACGCGACCTCTCACAAAGACCGAACCTGATACGCTCCCATTTTCCTCCTTAACTATTCGATCATCATCCCCTCCTTCTCCTCACTTTCCTTTCCATTGTCCTTTCAAACTCGATTCTCACGGTTAAAACTGTAAAAACTACTGTTAGTCCAACTAAATATTAAACATTATTGGAAAACCATGCATCGAATGAAAATCAATCGAATTTTACGTATATTAAATAATACAGCTGCGTTTGAAATAAAAAAAAAAATTCTCAAGCTAATAATAAAAAATGCTGCAAATCATTTGAAAATCTTTCGAAACAATTTCGATTGAATTTTTTTTTTCTGTTATTTCCTCCCTGAATATTTCTTCACTTCGAAATTAATACAATTCCATCACTCTGTCAAAGTATCTTAAAAGGATGAGCTATACGGCCGTAAGAGTTTGAAACAATAAACCTTTCATAACCCTTTCATCTACTACATTCTCGTGTCCAATTTGTCGAGAAGATGCGCGGAAGGATTTTCGATACTATAAATATTAACAAATCCAGAGCGAGGAAGGATACATCCAGCTTAAGTCAACGCAGGAGAATCCGTTGCATCGAGGTTGCTCGCGTTCGGGGTAGAAACGCGTGTTGATTTCGTAATGTTTTATTTAACCGGGTTGTGCTGCTTGCCTTTCTCGTTGTGCTTAAAAAAAGGAAAGAAAAAGAGAAAAAAATTCGCGTCTCTTCGCGGGTGGAAATACCTTTTATTCGTGTGCACATACGTCTTAGAGAGAGCGGTCGTGATATTTTCGATATTAGAAAAGTAGAGCTTCTTTAACGGTTTCAAGAATTTCGCCGGGAGCTTTTTAAATGGACAACGGCGAGAAAAGTCCCTTTGAACGACGATAGATCCCGCTTGAAAAATCTACTCGCGCAGTTCATTTGAACTCGCGATTCTCTTCTCCTCGCTTTTTTTTTCGTGAAAACGGTGTTATTTTCTCTCTCTCTCTCTTTTTTTTTTTCATTAAATTTTCGTTTGTCGAGACGAAGAAAAGGAGAGAAAGAAAAGAGAGCAGTGCGCAATGTCGATTTATTTGAGTCGAATCTTCTTTTAATAATGTTTTGTGAACTTTGTGAAATTTTATGGGAAAGAGATTTTATTTAAGTAATCAGACGTAATCGACAAAATTGGTATATAGAAATATCTATCAGAAGTTACTTTGTCAATATAATGCAAATGGAATAATCATTTCCTCCATTTCTAAGTTCCAAGTCCATTAGTATTTTTATTTTTCCAATAGAATTCACGTTTTTCGAATACTCTATTCTTCGCTCATATCCTGGAAAGAAATTTGCAAAAAATCTCGAATTAAATAAAAATTATATTTTTCCAATTAACAATTATTAAGAGGGGAAAAAAAAAAAGAAATCGATGATAAAGATAAATAACGATTATCACGTGGAAAAAATTGGAGTTGGATGCCAGAAGTTAATAAATGCGTTCACGCATCGGCGCGAAAACGATACACGGAAAAATAAATTAATAAACTTCAATATTGTTGCCAATATTCCTCTTGCGTATCGCGCACACGAGGCAGAAGTAAAACATTCGTGAAACGGGCCGAGATAATAATTATGATTTACGGTCTGGTAGTTATAATTCCAGCATCGACGGCAAATTATGCCCGGGTTTTCGAAAATTTGCGCGCGCGCGCGCGCGCGGTCATCGTGCTCCCGAGATTTCGAAATGTTTTCAATGGAAGGAAATCAGCTTAACGCAACCTTTTACGCGCATTCAGCGCGATTAGCTCGTGGAAAAATTTATTTTCACGAAACGAATTTTGTAATATCAAATGCAGTTTGGAAATTTATTTATAACGGAATACACGAAGGTATTCGAATATTTTTGCATCTTTTGATGAAATTTTAATGAAAAATTTTTGATCCCTTTAATGAAATTTCGTGAGTAAAGGATTATGGATTATATACCAAGCGATTGTTTTTTTTTTTTATTATTTTAAATATTATTTGAAATTAAAGCTTCGATGTATTGTATTTCTTTTTTTATTTTTTATAAATGTAATTTTACCAATGGCGCCAAATAGAGCAAGATTTTAAATTTCAAATGTTTGGAATTTAATGTTTTGGGGTAATTTGTATTTGGAATATACGTGATACCGATTGTATCTTCTATTTTGGATAATATTCAACAACAAATATCAAATGGCATTTGCTCGTGATTCAAGCGTTAAATAAATAATACTATATTTTTTAAACCACTTTTACAGAAATATCATTTCAATTTCCAATGTTTCGACTCAAATTATTTCAAATTTTCTTTTGCTTTTTAATGAATTATGCGAGTCGAATATTTTGTGCGAAAAGCCGTTCCCAAGCATTCGAATATCAAAAATATTTTCATTTTACATACCTATCAATCGCAGAATAGAGAATACCGTGTTTTTAAAACTGGGCAAGAAAATTTGTATCTCCGCGTGATTTGCACTCACCTGTCGTAGTAGTAGTCCCTGAAATCAGAAAAAATATTAAAAAAATTAGTGGGAGAATTTTTTAAAAAAATTATTCGCAATAATTAACGAATAAAATATTACTTCTTAAAATACAATTAATTTATATATCGTTCAATATTAACGAATTAAATTATTAATTGTTTCCCTTCACATTTATCATATAATTTTCATAATAATTTTACGAAAGCTTTTCCCCCTTTCCAAGATATCCTGTTTAAGTATTTCGATCGAATATCTGGGGGAAACAAAAAGGCGGAAAATTCAATAAAAATCGATATGTCGTTTTTTATGCAGTCAAGCACAAAATAAACACACGAGCACGGGAGAAATATAATATTTTTAAGCTTTCAAAAAATACGCAAATAGCGGGAACAAAGAGAAAAATGCACGATCATGTTTCGCGATGTCGAAACGAGGAACCGGTGGAATGACGACCGACAAACGTTTCAACGGACGTGATCAGAAATTACCACCACGTATGTACAATAGACGAAACATCAAACGAATTCCACGAAAATAGTAGAGAAAAAACAATTCGTGCATATTACTCGTTGAAAATAAAAAAAATATATCTATTCATTCCTTTCGAAAGTATCTATTTTTGATATTTCGTCTAAAGGTTCGATAAAAATTTGTGAGGAGGGAAAATAGAAAATTTCTATAGACATATTATTACATGTATTATATATCTATATATATATATACAAAAAAAATATTACTGTAAATAAAATATTAAATAACGAGATTTTAAGAAAACAAACAGACTAATTTAATTTTCTGTAAATATATTAATTTTAACATTAGAATCTTTCTTTTCAAAATCACTCTGATAAATAATACAAATTATTTCGATTTAATCAGTTTGATTTCAAATTTCTGGAAGGGAACTTGATACGTTTTTAATTAACTCGTAAATAAAAACAACAACAAGAAATTAAATTCAGAAGGTAAACCAATTTAATTTAATATTTCTAAAAATTTCTCAATTTCTCAATATCAGAATTACAGAATTCAATTCCTCTTTTTATCTAATATTCCGAGAATTAAAACGATCGTACACCACGAATACCTTGACAAACATTTTCCTATCAAATTCTAGAGGAACATTAAAAAAACTCTTCTTTCCATTTAAAAATTCATAAAAGGAATAAAATAACGAGAACACGTCTCGCTTCGATGTATCGCACGCGTCATCATTTTATATACATACACTGCAACAACAATTGTGTTAAAGTTCAATTTCCATTAACGATCGAATCGAGAGACACAGTCACAGTTCAATCACTGTTTAGTGCTTCCTGATTCCAGAGGAAGCGCGCGCGATAGTGTTCAGGTTCCAGTCACGTTCCAGTATAGTGAGTGATGTTTCAAAGGCGATCGAATCGTGACTAAACCGCCGCTCCAAGTCAAATCGAAGGTAGCGCGACATTTACCCCTTTTCTGCATTTGAAATTCGGTGATTTAAATGCATTCTGCTCGCATCCCTCTTAAACGCCCGCGGTGGGCGAATTACTCGCACCTTCTCTCCACCAGAGATCTTCCATTTTCCACTTTTATACGTATTCGACAGTGCAAATGTTTGGTAAATAAGACGACATAGTTGCTCGAAATACACATAATAATTTAAATATATTTAATTTTGAAAATATCTTCAAAGATATTAAAAATGTTGCAAAAATTGACTCGAAAGGGATTGAATTTAGAATCTTTTTTACAAAACGAAAGATTAAACAAATTTGAGAGTTCGACAATTAGAAAAAGAAATATTTTCCATTTTATCAACACTGTTAAACGAATCGCAGCGTGCAACAGATGTTCTTAAATATCCAACCAAGTTCACCGAAATGGAAAAATCAAAATTGACCCGGTGTCGGATCGGTTGAACGATGGATTCAACGACGCGAGTTCATTTATACGTCGCCCCGGTTATTGATTTGTTCGGGAAGGTTTTCGAAGAAATTGTACTACGACTAAATCGATCCCTTGCATCTTTTACGTTAATAGACCTCGCAGCTTTTATATTCTTCCAAGAAACGTGGATTGCAGAAATAGAGTCGTACATTTCTCAATCGAAGTTCTACTTTTTATTTTATTTTTTTTCTTCTACAAAAACGTAATTTATCGATCGATTATTATTATTATTATTTCGTAATTTTGAACAATTTTCGAATCGTTTGCGAATATAATATAATATTCAATTTACTCCAAAAAAAGAAGAAAAGATAATTCGATTAATTCTGATTTCTTAATTTTGAAATTCAATCTTTTTCGCACCATGGAAATAGAAATTGTTTTTTCTTTTCAAAATCAAAAATTCTCGAAAGATTTGCCACTATTTATAAGACAGTTAAATTTTCTTTCGTTTCACTTAAAGTTATCATACGTTATTGTGGGATTACTGTGAATTACACAATTCTATGTATATGTAGGTGATAAAAATAGGGGAACGGTTAAAAAGGAACGGTTAACGAAAGAAATGAAATGGAAAAAGGGATATAGGAATTTCCAATTGTCGGCTATTCTAGATTTTAAAGAATCGAGAAATCGATAATGAAATTTTTATCTTTCATCACTTTGTTAATTTCGTTTGTTGAAGTCAGTTGAAAAAATTTATGTAATTGTATTTACCGCAACGTAGATATTTTTAAATAATTATTTTAAACTATAACGTTTCATTTAGTGAAAATTTCGACTCTCTATACTGAAGAAGAAAGGTATTCGATATATACGAAGTATCAAATTTTGCCAGCAAGGCAAACACAATTAAAATGTTATTTTGCAAATTTCGATACACGTCATTTTATGTCATTATTACGGATAACTATACAATTTTAATCATTGAAAATTTCAGTTTTCTACGATGGAGAGCAATCAATATCAACGAAGTATCAAATTTTATCAGAAGCGATGTGAATGCAAATATAATTAAAACCCTATTTTGCAAATTTTTGATTATCATGGATAAGCGTAAAATTTTATTTATCAAATTGTGAAATATCGTATTTCGTCGACCACAGTGTGGAAATGGAAAAAAAATTTCTATTTCCATTATGAAACGTTGTAAAATGATCGGAAAGAAAGAAAAGAAAGAAAGAAAAAAAATTCGAATTATTTGATAATTATCGATATCGTTTCTCATAGTTTTTTAAAAAACGTCTGATACGTGACAAGTTTATCGATAAATTAACTATTATTCACTTAACCGCAATACCTCTTTGAGGATGGGTCTGCGATTTAAGAGAAAATTGCCAATTACTTTGCTCCTTGTAAGTACTCGAGGCTGATACATTCCGGGCATCGAGGCGTTACTTACACCGATACTTCGAGAGACGAACCAAATAAAAAAGTGGTGGACAAACCAGTTAAGAAATTAAAAACGAAGGAAATAAACCTCACCGTCTTGGAGCTCGAGATAAAATAACTAAACTAATTTTTTTTTAAATTGAATTTAACAATTCAATCACCTCGAACACGACGAAGAGACGAACATGACATAGAAATTAAAAATTACAAATTTTCAAACAATATTGCAAAGTTCGATCGATGAAATGCGAAAGTTTCTACGTTAAATTTATATTTCTATTATTACAATTAACAAGTGAATTGAACTAACAAATCAATTACCTCGAAGATAAATAGAATATAGAGCAGAAAAAAAAAGTAAAAAGGAAAAAAAAAATATTTTCAAAATGAAAAGTTTAATAATCAAAATTTACAATTAAATACTAACTAACAATCCAATTAAGGATTAAAAAAAGCAGTACAAGAGAGAAAAAAAAAATAATTGAAAACATTTTCAAATGAAAATATTAGAAAAGTGTTTCCATATTCGTTTCCACATTTCCACAATCGTCAAAAATAAAAAAAATAATTTTCTTTCTCGTCACATTTTAAAAATACATTTACATTGCCGCCCAACAAAACACTCGACTTGGCAAACGCCTCGTTCAGGTATTGGCCGACGTTTATCGGTTTAATTGGTATACAAGGAAGAAAATTGCAGATAATGAAGAGTAGAAGGACGATAATCGAATTTGTGCAACGATCGACCGAACCGAAAAGTGTTTCGGTCAATAAACGGTCCATTAGTTGCTGTTTAAATACACGATTTCTGGCGTTGAAAGGGAGAGAGAGAAAGAGAGAGAGAGAGAGTGGAAGGGACGGTTGACCATGAAATGGCAACGAAAGGATCGACTTCAGGGAAAATTGCCAATTACTTTGATTGCCTCGCCCTCCGTTTGAAAACTCGTTTCTGTTTGGCAATACTCGCCAGCCAATTTCTGTGTCCATCGAACATTAATGTAAAACGCCGATGAAAAACATCTTGCAAGACTTTCCAGATTAAAAAGAGAGGCGAATTTTCGCGCTAACTAATGGACCCTTCCAAGAATTCCTTGAATGCTAAACGCTCGATTGAACGGGGGCGGCAAGTAATTTATTGGCGGATTTCCATAAGGTCGAGAGGCGAAATAAAAAGTAATTATTAATATTCTATTGGTTGCCGAGATAGTTTTGCGGAAAGAATGAAATGAATTTTGAAAAAGATGAAAGAAAGAGGGTTGTTCGAGTCGAACTTTTAAGCACAATTAGTTCTTAAGTTATTTAAGAGGGTGGGAATTAAAAATAAAAATTAGAACGTCTAAAATCTTCCTTCGATTTTCTTTTGAAATATATCTTTCGATATAATCAACACTAAAATATTTAGAAAGAGATATCATTTAATATCGAAACCAAAGTATTGTTTTATTTAAATTTATTTAAAAAAATTTCTTATTCTTCCTTCGAAAGAATTTTAAATCCATTCTTCTCAATTTAAAATTTTATTCCTAGAAAACTACTGAAATTAAAAACTTAATAATGTCTAAAACTTTGGTTATCGACATCTTTTATTTTCTAACTTATTTATATTAAAAAAAAATGGAAATTTATCGATACAATTTTGAACGAAATTAAATATTGATTCGGTTTAATCAATTTCCAACAAAATAAATTTAAAG